AAAAAAAAAACATTACATAATTTCTTTCTTCTGTTGTTTTATTGATACCAACGTCTACTTTTAATGATTTTCTGTTATGGCATCATCTAAACTGAGTTGACTTCCACCTCTCTCTGTTCGCAGGTGATAAGTGGGTCCAACCTTCCGGTCATCAAGTCTCGAAACACTCTGGACCCATTTGTCCGAGTTGAGATTCATGGGATTGCATTCGACTCCCGCAGTAAAAGCACTCACACTGTCAAGAACAATTGTGAGTACCACAAAGCAAACTCCTTTTAAGGACTGGCTCTGCTCTATTTAGCCTGATTTGTCCCAACTTTTGTCTTCTGAGCGGAAAAAAAGAATAATTAAAATACACTAAGAATTGATATTACTGCAAAGTGGTTGATCAAAGCTTTGGGTCAAGCTAAAAATACCAGCCAGACTTTCTTGTGAAAGCCATTAAACTGAATTTACATATAAAAAGTAAAAATCACCCTCCTATGCAAACAAGCTTCTTACTTATGATGACATCATGCAAGGCAAATGATTATTATTATGATTATTCTTCCTTCTTCTTGGTTTTTTTCCCTACATTATTTCCACTACTTCTTTGAAGGTTTATGGCAGCAGCAAAACATTTTAACCGTATGCAAGAGAAACAGATTGAGGAACTGCTTACAAAATGTGCACTGATACATGAGAATTAGTTCATACTGGATCTGTGAATTATAAACAGGAATTAATTTAAATTTTAATTAATCAGGAATTTTCTAGAAAAAAAAACAAGGAAATTTGTTTTTCCTAGCAAATTATTTTGCTAGAAAAAGTTTTAATTTTTGCTAGAAAAAACTCAGAAATTTTGAAATTAATCACATACATTTTCTAGAAAAAGAAGCAAGGACATTTCTGAATCTGAAAAGTCAAACATTTTCAACTTTCGTATATTTTGAGTTTCAAAACAAACTCAAAATTTTCCTTTTTTTTTCTAGAAAATTTCTTAGATTAATTTAATAATTTCTGAGTTTTTACTAGCAAATTTTTACTAGCCAAAAACTTGGTATTATGTGAAATCCTATGGTTACTTCATCACCTACCTGTGTTTTATTGTCTTCTTGTGTGTTCAGCTTCACTCCGAGTGGCGATGACTTTCGGTTGTCGCTGTCCTCCATCGTTCCCCACCTGTCGAGTTCATCACCATAACAGAGGCAAAAAGCTAGTTAGCTCCCTAGCATATGTTAGCAGCTAGTTAGCGGTAGCCTCAACTGCCTCGAGTCACAGGACGCAATGAAAATGTCTAAACTTTTGCCTGACAAAATTTAAGTCCTGTAACTTTTATTTATTTATTTGTTACATATTTGTTAAAACTGCCACGACAACCAGCCAAAGCCAGCGGGAGGATCTTATGTCAGTCATCTTCAGATATACCTAGAAACAACTTACCGTGACCGGAAAACCATTTATCCACCGTCATCGGTGGCCATGCTAATTAGCCTTAGCAGTCATGGCTCCATTGTGATGATCTGTGTGTTTCTGTCGTTAGCAATGGAAAAAAGACAAGTTCAATTGTTTTTCATTTATTATCTGTCTCACCACATAGTGACAAAAATAACAAACATATATTTAAAAAAACTTAAGAAAAAAAAAGTTACAAAGCTTCAAAAGCCAACTTTTATTTTGCTTAATGAATTTAAGACTTCACAGACTTTGATACATCCAAGTTCTGATGTTGTATCAAACTTCCAGATTATTGGTCTTGTGGTTCATGGCTGTTCTGACTTCCCAGAATCAGAACCAGAACCAAACACAAAGGAGAAGCACCACAAATCTGGAACAAACTTTCAGAAAACTGCAAAACAGCTGAAACTTTATTTGAATCAAAACTAAACACTCACCTGTTTCGTTGCTTTCAACCATAATAAATGGAACATTGACCAAAATATTTAATGTGTATTTTAACGTTGACACTTGACAAAATGCAGTGGCTATTACTGGTTTTCACAACTACACTGCAAAAAAACAAAATCTTACCAAGTAATTTTGGTCTAGTTTCTAGTGCAAATATGTTAGTGCACATGAAATAAGACAAAGCTAACTTACAAGTAATTGTTTTAGAAGATATAATTCTGTAGTATTGATGAAAAATACTTGCTCCATTGGTAGATAATTTCACTTACAACAAGACATTTTCCCAAGTTGAAATAACCTGCCGATGGAACTGGTACTTTTTCATCAATATAAGCCTTATAATTCCCTTATATTATTCCCTTATATTATAAGGGAATTATTGACCTTAAACAAGCTTCTATATCTTGTTGAAAAGTTACTTTTAATTTAGTTCTGTCTTATTTCAAGTATACTAAAATTTTCACATTAGAAACTAGACCAAATTACCTAGTAAGATTTGCAGTGGATTGACTATATGGTGTTTATTTTTGTGTTTTATGACATAAAACACTTTGAACTGCCCTGTTGCTGAAAGGTGTTATACAAATAAACTTGACTGATTGCCTATCTTGTTTCTGGCTCTAAAAATGAGTCAGTGAACCCCTTGTGAAGCTAATGATGGTGATTTTTACTGCTCCAGCTATGACTCCTCGCTGGGACACCGACATGAACTTTAACATCACCGTCCCCGAGCTCTGCCTCATCCGCTTCTGCGTCCGTGACCAGACGACCCTCTTCAAGAGCGAGTTTGTGGGCCAGTACACGATGCCCTTCACCAGTTTGAAGAAAGGTGAGCCACAGGGCAGAAGGGGTGACTTTAAGTGGCTGTGGGGAGATTATATCAGATAACACTGTTGGTCCAACATTGCCTGACATTCGCAGTGTCAGCACTGCTCTGTGGAACGGATTTTTAAAAACGTGGAAATGATCTCGTCTGTTTGATGTAACTTCATTTGCCCCCTCACCTCCTCCAGGCTACCGCTGGGTGCCTCTCCTGTCCCGACAAGGATGCAGTCTGGATCCGGCTTCCCTCTTCGTGTTGGTTTCGTATTAGTATCAATCCAAGATGGACTCTCTCTCACACAAAAAGTTTAGATACAACGATGGATGGATTATCTAGCACCCAATAAGAGCAACAAAATATCAATAATTAAGTTACACAATGCATGATTTTCTGATATATAAATATACATTTTATTGACAAAATATGTAAATGTCTATTTTTACTGCTGGCTAACAGAGTTACAGAAAAAAGAAAAGAAACTGATTGCGTACTGCTTGAATTTCTTTGGTAATCAATATTAATCCATACATTAAATCACACAGATTTTCATCCAATAATCACCTTGAAGACATAAACATGGACTACAAAAACAACAAACTTAAGCTTCATGTTTTCTTGTAGCTTAATCTCAGACTGAATTCATTAAAACAATTCTAACTTTAGTTTGCCTCTTTTCACAAGGAAAAAAAATCCCACGTTAAGAAATTATTGCTTTTAACAAAATCACTGTTAGCACAATTATTGTCCCCAGTATAAATCAGTTTCACATTTTTATACTTTTAAGTGATTCACAGTTTCAATAAAGTTCCTTATTGGGGCTTAAATAATAAACGACAAGAGGGACATTTCCTTTAGCAGTTATGCTGGATGAAATCTTCATCAAATCTCCATGACAACCAATGGGCACGAGTTGTTTGGCATTTAGATAGAAAAAAGGCTTATCTGTCCTGCTACCAAAAAAAAGTAGTTTACAAACTCAGGCAGCTGATGCAGAAACAATTAAAAAAAAACATCAGGGCCAAATGTTAATTTGATTAATTAATGATTAATTTCATTTTCATTAATTAAAATGAAAAACGTAAGGTACAACACAAAGTTTTCATCTTTTATCAAACATTTTTTTTTGCTTTTAATTTAATAAGTTGGTGAATTTTACAGAAAACAAAACTTGAGCTCAACCATTGAGTGAGCTGTATGCTGTTGTTGCTGAAAACACACACAGAAAAGTCTAGACAAAGATCATCAACCCCAAATATTTGGAACATTGAATGCTGTTTTTTCTCTCGTCTATTTAACTGCAGCCCAGCCCGTTACCTAGCAACCCCAGCAGAGTTCCGCCCATTTCCTAGCAACCACAGCAAAATCCCACATGTCACCTAGCAACAGAAGCAGCGCTCCTGCGCGTTTGGTCTTCTGGTTCAACTTCTGTATGCACTGTACAATTTGCTGTTGAGTTGCCAACCAGAAAACACTTGCTGCATTCTTGTTAATTGTGCAGGAGGCTCAACCTTTGCTGTTCAAAGATGTACAGTTGTATAATTGTGCGCCTGTTTGCTGCCATTTTTATGTGCGAGTGTAAACATCGAGTTGGGGGGCGTTGCCAGCAGCTTATTTGGATTTAAAGTGATAAGAGGTCTTACAACAGTTCTGAGCAGACATAAAACTCATTATCAAAGAATGATTTTGTGCAAAACTGTAAAGAACATGTTTTGTATAGGCATAGACATGTCCTAACCTGGTAAAGGAAGTAATATGACACCTTTAAAATACTGTGTGGAAAAAAGAGAGAGAATTCATATAAAGTAACTTCATTACTTAAGTAATTAAGTTAATTTAAAAAAAAAAAACTTTTGTGTCCCTGAGTATTTTCAACTTGATATTTTTAGCAAAACGTTTGGACCTAGGGAGACTGTGTGTGGAAGAATAGTAAAAAAAACCTTGCTGTCCTTTCTGCTTCAAAACAGAAGAGTAAGTGTCCTCCTATTGCCAAATGGTCTTTTACAGTAATTAAAAAGAGACATTTATTTCTAAACACAGATTTTTTTTTTCTCTCCCCGCTGAGTAAAGGCCGACTTCATGTAATGTTTTCAGTGAGATTATGCTGCTGCAGCAACAGATACGTTTATTTTAGAGCTTTTAACACCAGAGGTGTCAACAAATGTGTCTGTGTTCTGTTGCTTTCACATATCAGGGCTGACAGTGGTGAGTGACACCAATTTTAATAACGCTACATGACCGCAGTCATCAAAAAATAGCAACCAGCTCCATTTCCATTCGAGAAACCCATCAGGGAATATTATAAATAGTCTCCAAAGAGGTATACATTATTGAGCTGAATCCAGTGCAGGGAAGTCTATTTCCATCTCCGTTCGTCACTAAATCCTTCAAATGAGGTAAAAGGAAAGTACGGGTCAGCAGGCCTGTCAGGACAGGAATGGCATCAAGATAACACGAAGACCCAGTTTGGCCCAGCGGGAGCGAGTGAGCATGTCGATCAGAGTCGGTGCTTTGGTTGCCTCTGCATGAACACACGCGTGCCCGACTGTATTTAAATGCCACTGATGGATAAAACAGTGGATGGAGCGAGAGGGAGGCGGGCTGAGTGTTAACTCGGCCCCTCCGGCCTGAGATGCTGAGTTGTCATCCTGCTCACACAGTCGCCTCGTCTCTCGCCTCTAATTCCACTGGTCAAGGACATGCAGCCTGGAGGGACCAACATGCCTGTGCAGGTAAGAAGCAGACATCTTGAAGCACCCCTTCACTCTTAATCTGTCACATAAAACCACATAAAGAGTCTAGTTTGACTCACTTACAAAAAAAAACCTAAAAAAAACTACACTCCAAGTAGAAGCAGGGTACCGGGGATGGCAGAGTCATATTCATTTAGGGCAACATCCAGATTATAAATGCGTAGGGTCACTGATTCAAGAAAACAACAAGAAAATCTGACTTTAACCTCAGAATTCTGAATTTTGACTGATCTTTTGTGATCCAAATTCAAAATTCTGAGAAAGAAATTGTCAGAATTCTGAGATCCAAAGTCAGAATTCTGAAAAACATCTGAATTTTGAGAAAAATTTCTGAATTCTGAGATTAATGTCAGTTCTCTCTTAATCCCAATTCTGGCTTTAATCTTCTGAAATCCAAAGTCAAAGATTCTGAGAATAAAGGTCTTTTTTCCTTCCGGTGTCCCTTCTCGTCTTCAAAGGTCCAGTTGGGTCACAATGTCACAACTACATATTGACAGCTTACAGTTTGAATTTCTTAAGATTAAATTATATTTAGCGTCTTTTGACATTGTTTTAATTTTAACAGTATAGAAATAAAACCGATTTGTTTTCATTGATGAAATAATATTTAAGTATACAGATGTTATCTTGAAGTTCTGTGGCTCTGAGGTCTAGAGGGAAATGTGGGCAGTACGCCTTTTCCTTCATAAATCATTTCTATAATTTTAATTTGATCTAAATTAATTTTTAAAAAACTGATTTGGTTTATTTAACCATAAACATGCATTTTTAACAAAACTTTAGCCAAAACTCCCAGCCAGTCAGTGCTTTAAATTCTGGAGGTAGGTTAACATAGCTTTTGTAGATAAATATAATTTATAAGATTTCTTAGTGGATAGTGTCCAGTATTTCCCTGCCTTGACTAAAAAATAACATTAAAATAAAGCATATAATACAGTAAGTGTGCTGGCCCCCCCTGCTGGCGGCAGGCTCACAGTGCAGTCCTCAGGGTCAGATCACACAGTTCCCCAGGGGAAACCACATCTCCCTGTCCAGCAGTTCTTCTTCCAGTTTAATACTGGTTGCACCTACAAATGTCGTCCTGGTCTTTCTGCTCTTCACCGTCACCTTCAGCGTAATCCCATCCAGCACCGGGATAAAATTGTACTCAAGCTGTGAGAATGAGGCAGATTTGTTAATATAAAAGGTTGTTTTGTTTAATACACTTACATTTCTGAGGGTTTTACATACTAAGCAGCCTGATAGTTCAGCATATTACTGTAAAAATATTTCCTGTCTGGCTACAAGCATAAAAATTTGCATCCTCACCCTTAACATGCTAGTTTTTTAGCAGTCTCATCTGTCCACTTGAATTTCAGTATGACAGCCATTTTTTCAAGATGTTTTTTTTTTTTACCCTGATAAACCAATTATATTGCCATAATTGGTTTATCATGACTTAGATGGACTTTATGACACATCACATGTTGAAGACTTTGGTCATCCTAAGTGAATGTTTCTCATTTGATCCTTTCCAAGTGAAATCAGGATACAGTGTACAGTACAGGGTGAATTTTACCAGCTCATTGAAAGTCGGGTGGTCGTTGTTGCTGACCACCTTTGTCTTCCTCTTGGAGGTCTGCGCAGGGTCTGGTCTCAGCCGCGTGACCACGTAGGCATCAGGGTTTGAACCATTTGGCAACTTCTGTCAAACAGCACAACAGCAGAGAACCCATTAGAGCCTGTTTTACGATATTTCATCAGAACAACACAACTCTGTACAAAGAATGATGCAAACTAACGATGTTCTGCAGGTGTTTCACCAGTACAGAGAGCTTGCAGTTTGAGTACGATATACGCAGCTGGATCTGAGGATCGTCTCCTGCAACACACAGAGCTTACATCAGACCTCTCTCCATCAGTCTTCAGTTATGCTGTGAAGGTTAGGATGGGTCTACAGGCGATGCAAAACATGTTCATTACTCTTTTTTTCCAATTATACAACCGTACATCTATGAAAAGCAGAAGTAGAGACTCCTGCACAACTAACAAGAATGCAGCAAGTAGTTTCTGGATAGTAATTCAACAACAAAACACTTGTATTTTCCAGCAGCCATTGTACAGTGCATATAGCAGTTAAACCAGCTGACTAAACATGCTGGAAATTCTCTTAGTTGCTAAGTGGACTGATTTGTGACGTTACAGGGACATCAAAAAGCATTAGCTTATTATATTACAAAAAAATGTCTGGGGTGGTTCCTTTTTTAGCACTTGTGCTGCTTTTAAAAGCAGCAGAAACCCAAATGGAAATATAAAAATATACAAAATGTGAATTTTGGATAATAGATCCCCTTTAATATTACCTGTTCCCACATTTGTTATGGCATTGGGACCGTCTAGAAACAAGCTGCACACATATTCATCCTGCAGATGACACAACGAGACGTTTCAAAGTAGGAATTAGGGATTTGGGAGGATTATGAAAAACCGTCCTGAGACTGGATTAAACACTTACTCCCTTGCACGGCCCGTCAAAGAGCTGCTTTAAGTAAGTATTCAGCAGAGCCTTCCTCTTCTGTGGGGTAAATGACATTTGATACCTGCTCGGAAACCTTAATGAGATAAAAAGGTTCAGTTTATTAACATTAGCCAATACAAAAACAAGTGGTAAAACAAAAAAATAGACAGCAATAACAAAATCTTAGCACATGTTTCTGGTGTAGTTTCTATTGCAAATATCTTAGTATACTTGAAATGAGACAAAACTAACTTTTGATCAAGATATTGGAGCTTATTTTAAACAATTATTTTGTAATCGAAGAAAAAGTGCTACTTCCAGATTATTTAACTTCTAATAAAATCTGATGAACTAGTACTTTTTCATCAGTATTAAGGAATTATTTACTAAAACAAACAGCTATATCTTCATGTAAAGTTACTTGTAAGTTAGTACACTTGAAATTAGTATAGTTTGAATTGCAGTATAGTTTGTCTTTTACTCACTGCGGCAGCTTAGATTCAATGAAGTATGTCTGGAGCTTCTGGTGGATCAGTTCAAACTCCTTGAATGTCTTCTGACTCGTCAAAACTCCATCATCAATTGTTATTCTCAGGTTGAAAGTCTGCAATTCACACACAGACACAGGAAAACAGTCTGCAGCTGCATGGGGATTGAATACAGAGAATTGGTATAAGCCAGAGGCTGTTGCTGCAGACAGACAGGTTGACAGGATTAAAATATTACCAGCTGATGTTTTTGTGTAAATGATCTTGTGGGAAAAGGAACCAGGCAAATCTCTGAGCCTTCAAATGACTAAACCTGTCATAAGAAAACCTCTTCTGATCAAAGAGCAGCAAAACACCCACAAATACCAATATCACTCACTCAACACCAGGAAAACAGGCTTTATGAACTCAGCGTGTTTCTAGAAATGTTTCTACAGCAAACATGGAAGCCGTCACTTGACAATGAGCAGGGTTACTACAGCAACAGTGAATTACAGCCGTTAGACAAAGAAAACCAGGAGTAAATTTCTCTCAAAAAAAATCTGACATTTTGCAATTAATCTGAGAAATTTGTCAGAAAAAACAAACAAAAAAAATTCTGTACTTTAAAGCGAAGATTTTTTTTCTATAAAATTTCTGAAATGAATCTCAAACTTTCAATTTTTATTGCAATTTTTCATCTTTTCAACCAAAGAAATTTCAAAGTTTTTTCTTTTATAAAGATTTTAAGATTGATCTCAAATTTTCTGAGATTTTTTCTTGTAAATTTTCAACTTTTCAAACTCAGACATTTCCATGTTTTTTTTTTGTTTTTTTTAGAAAATTTCTCAGATAAGCTTTTTCCTTACAAATTTTCAACTTTTGTAGGATTTCTAGAAAAATCTTGAGATTAAGCTAATATATATATATATATATATATATATATATATATATATATATTTTTTTTTTTTTTTTTTTTTGAAAAATTTTCCCCCCTTTTTTTCTGGGGGGCCCAAAACCAAAAAAA